TTGCACTGCAGCTAACGAAGATAGACCAACTCTTACCAAGCCTAAGGCTAAAAGAGCAGCTTGCGCTAAAACTGGCGCAGCTCCTGCAGCACCAACTGCCGCTCCAGCTAATTGACCACCGCCAATACTCGGTCCATATGCAAAGCATAGATTATGCCTGTCCACCTAATTAAGATAATAGTTTCATTATAGGACACATTGTCACAATCATATATATAATTGTAAGATATTGTCAAAGTTATTGTACCAGATGCTTGACTACAAGATATAGTAGACCAAAAGGAGTGATTAAGGGACACGCCAGACTATAGACGGTTGTCATAGTGAAAACTAGCAACAACCATGCATAATGAGCTCCTAATGGAAATTCCCATAGTACCGCTTTCCTGACATGTATTCTTTCTGCCCGACTGCGAGCTATACAGAGTCTGAAAGTGTATAGCGCGAGTTCCGGAAATCTAACCAATTCTAATCCGCTCCCAAGTAAGGCTGCAGTTATGACATAATTTACAAAAAGTGCGCCCTGCAAATTTTATATTCTTATACAAATCTATGCCGTATGAATATTGAAGTATGAAGGAGAAAGAGTATGCTTTCTTATTGAATTAACTTAAAATAAATGCGATATTTTTTACTGTCAGAAACATCACCTGATCTGGCAAGAATACACATTCCCATTTCGCTGTATTATTTCGGCCATTCACAGTCCAATCTAGGAATGCTGCAGCACTAGTTAATCCTAAACTAGGTAATATAAGCACCATTAGTAGCAACAGAAGTAACGTTTTTCTCATAATAACACGATTTAAGCTGCTTCTTGTCCAATGTCTCACGAGCGATTCACTTCTCCCGACTAATGCAGGCATTAGAGCAGCTACACTGACTAACAATACAGTAGGCAGAAAAGATGAAAGCACTGGACTAAGAATCTTAATTTCTCCAGTAATTGGTAATTTGGTCACAGTTGTCACTATGACCTAAAATTTTAAAAATAAATAAATTAAAATTACATTTAAAAACATAAATTTTTAAACATTATAAATAAAAATAAAAAAGAATTGATCGAAGATTAAAATGTTATTTATTGTTTCAAATGCCATAAGTATCAGTTTCTTTGCTATATACGTATTTAAGTGTATCTTTTTCTTTTTTTTTTCTTTGTATAGTTTTCATTTTATAATGTGCTTTTGCTGAAAGAAATTGACTTACAGCCGGTGTAGTAAGGAAAAACAATATAAGTCCCAAAGCGCAATTTATTAATACAGCATTTAGATACCAACACGGCCTGGGGATGCTTAAATTTTCCCAAAATATATCTGATGGCATCGGTGCATAATCCACGGTCCACTTTATATTCGGCGAGGACCTCAGCTGTTTGCGCATAGTTTTAGCAGCACCGGGTGTCCCTATTAATTATTTATTATGAATTTGTTTATAATCAAAAAAAGCAAGGAAACGTTATGTAATATTACGTAAAATACCTAAAGTTACAAAAGCAACTCCAAGAGTTTTACTAAGTGCTACATTCTTTTCTTCCTCAACTAGTGCTGTTAATCGTATTTCCTCGTTGGCGTAGAATTCTTGAGCATCCACTTGCTACAAATGCAATGGTTCGAATTAAAGATAAGAACTTGCGCGATAATATATATATAAAGTAATCAATTTTATGCTCGCATACGTTCATATTTTATTTTATTGATACATTTACCTTATTGCAACAATATCCAAGAATTTGACCACATGGATAAGGATACATTTTCAAAGGTTCTCTCTTCTTAGCATAACTTTCGCAATATAAACGCGCCTGTTCCGCACAATCTCTTTCTTCATCCAGTTTTGAAAGACGTCTTATATCGTGAGCCAATGTAATATCCTCCACTGTTAAGGCAGGGAATGCTTCTCTGAAAAGATTAATATATAAAAATAAGATCAAAGAATAGAATGATAAAATTTTTTCCAATTTCTTTTAATATCAGCGACAAATATTATTTGCCAAAAAAAGAGTTTATGATTAAAGAAGGTCCTTTTCTACATACTTAAAATATTCGGTAAGATTCTCAACAGTACATTGGTGTTTCGGTACGTCTGTAATCAATAATGTTCTTGCTACAAATTCTCCAGTAGGCCTAGTATCTCGCACCTATGTCCACAAACACATTCTCACTTGTAATACATATATTACATAAAACATTTATATCTTTTGAATATAAAAAAATAAAATATATCTTACAAATATACTTAACCGATTAATTGGCAATACCTGTTTTAAACGATTTCTCATGATAAATCCACCAACTGGCAGATAAGATAAGAGCAGTACTGTATACACCCAAAGCCCAAAGGATGTGGGCTCCAGGTTTGACAATGTTGTATGACTAAATGTTGCGCTGTCCCCTGGTTGCATGCTTCCGTGAAAATTTATTGGTAGGGCTATGCACAGCGATACAATAAGCATCATGACGGTCAATATGATTAAGCAACGTTCAAACATAATGTATAACAATCCATCAGGCCCTGCACGTTGCAATAATTCATCGTCGCTGCAATAATATTATTTTGAACAAAATAAGTTATACATTAAAATATAGCAAGATATGAATAAGATGTTTTAAGCGCACCGACAAGAGAATTTTTCCAAGTGTCACTCTGATTTCAGAATGAAACTCTGATTTTGATTTTGCTTTTACTAGTAAAGGTGAAATGAAAACTAGAATTTTATCCTGAAATCAGAGTGACACTTGGAAAAGTTCCCTTATGAGTACTAACGTAATTTTAAAAGCGGTAACAATCCATGAGAGAAATCCTCTATCCAGCTGAGAGAGTTGAGAATTGACTGAAGCTTCGACACATAAGGGATCAGTGTCTCTGTTTTCATTAACACCATAGAACAGCTCCATCCATCTGTTATCAGACTTGTGTAATAATGCGAGACGTCCATAATTCCATGCTTTTTTACGTAATAAACCAAATAAAATAACTAAAAGCTGTCAAGAATAATACATTACATTAGACATTACAGTTTATAACTTATTGTCAATAGAGTTCAAGTACATTAGCATCTTGCAAAATATATATCATTATCTTTCTTATACTAACATATCTCTCAAATAATAATAAAGAATAAGTCAAAGTCTTACCAGAAATCCTATTGCATTTAGCAATAGGTTCTCAGGTATTCCTGCATATACATCTGTGATTATTGTTCTATTATATCTAGGGAATGAAATGCATGTGTCTACAGAAGGACCATCGCGCACTGCAATGCTGGAATACGTAAATATTTAACATTATAATGAATAATGATATAATAACCATGAATTTATATACATATATAATACTGTAAGTGTTATAATGCGATCCATAACAATGACATTCTGCATCCATTGTTTTCAACAGTGCACATATGTAATCACTTTTCTTCTTTTGATAAGGAGCAACTTAATAACGTAATATGCAGTATATTAAGATATGTGTAATCTATTTGAAGAATATGATACAATTTAAAACAAAAATGTACAACGTACTATTCCATTATTTTATTCACGCGGGCCAAGTGCTTCGGGCATTGTTGTCAATTTCACTGTGCTCGTCGACGTGTACGCGAAAAGTAATCGCGATTGTGCAAACAATGCGGAAGATAAACACGATAAGAGCAACTAAAGCCCGAAGCGCGACTATTATCGTGCGCGATCGTGAAGAAAGGAAAAGGAGAACGCAATTACGGCGCGATTTTGCCACTCACTTTTCGTAGGTGTAATCCATGGTCGGCCGAGACGCGTAAATCAGTGCGCCGTTAAACAAATGCGAAGGTACATATTAGCAAACGCGTGTTAATTTGACACATTGCATCCCGTTCCCATGCGTGCTGCTAGAGTTTGCTAGTCGCACGAAAATACTCCGCGAATGTGACTTAACCTAACCTGAATCCGTTCCTTGCACGTAGTAGTACGCGAAACGTCATTTCGACGGGCACGCACATAACACACACCTGTGTACACACCCACGTGTGCGTATCGTCACGCTAATAGGAACACAAATGAATTTTAACGTACTTGTCACCCAGTAATTCTGTCTTTCAAAAATAGAGTACGAACACTTGTAATATATGATAAGATAAAACAATAAGTATGTTTTTTTAAACTTGATAAAAAATAATAGGTAATATATATATAATAGGTAGTACGAATTTTTCCATTGGATTTATTGTGCGTATCACATCAGTAAAATGAGGTATATTGGGAATTATGATAGATATTTAGAAGTTTAAAGCAAGATTATGTAAAGAACCGTAATTATAATATATATATTTTTATATTGTTTGTACATATATTATAAAATAAATAGTCGTAAAATATATCTATATAATATCTGATTTGTAGTGATATAAATTAAGGTAAATATTATATACCTAGAAAAAATATTTAATATTATAGCTTTCTCTTATCATCGATAAACTGAAATCTCGTTTTATACAATTGCTTTATAAATTAAATTATTTATATCAGGGATGTATCAGATCGTAAAATTATCAAATATTAGATATCCGGCATGGCAATTATCCGATCGTATATTTCTCTGATTGGATATCTGGTATGACTTCCAAAAAAATTTGACAAAATAAAATTCTCTCTATGCAAACTTAAAATAAAATTTCAGCCATATATTACCGGATACTAATAATATCCAGTTATCCGACTGGATAGTAAAAAGTATCGGATAATATCAAATACCGAATATTTCTCGGATATCCGATGCATCTCTAATTTATATACTCTACATATAAAGAGCTATAAGTATGCTATAATGTAATAACTTAATTTTTTATATATGAACTTCTTTCATATAATTTCTTCAATAATATATATGAATAAATGAATAATAATAGTAATTGTGAAAGTATAATATAAATAATATTTTTCACATGATCTCTGTAAACTATTTGATAAAAAAAATTTAATATACAAATATCTTTTATGCTATAATATCGTCATATAAATCTTCAATTTGTATGATATTTGGACAAGTACTTTCAGTCTATTTCGCGTTATTCCATTGATAAAGCTTAGTCAGTTGTAGTTCACCCGTTGTAATAGAATCTATAACCCAGGTTTCCTTTAGGCCATTTGTGCCAATAATAATTTTAGCAAGCTTGGTATTCTCGGTAATGTGTCCGCCTGCTGTCTTTATAAGTTCTTTGAGCGTATTACATGGTACGGTTGTTTTGTGCTCGACGTATATAAATCCACATGCGCCGAACAATTCTGGGATATATGAGGGTCCAAATAATTGCCTGTCTTTTCGATTTTCCTGCAAAAGAATATCTATGTTATATAACATGCGAGTAGATTTACATTGTATTCTACATTTATCACGTATGCGGTGTCTTACCTGTACAGCTTTAGAGAAATGTTTCATCTCAAACGTCTCTGGATTCAGCCATTTGTTGTTTTCCAAGGATTTCAGAACCCACTCTAAAGTAACGAGCCAACAGCCCCTTATTATACCACGGAGGAGATTCACTGTACGCACACCCGTACTCACAACGTGAGTCGTCCGTTTTGACACATTTAACTCCAACTCTGCCGCGCCAAGTGATTTGACGATACTCTTTATCAAACTTTTATCCCTATACACAAAATATAGAATATTATAATTTTTATCCGAAATAACATCGAATATTATTTCGATTTGAAAATAAAGATTAGAAACGCTTAGAGATAAGTTGTAATGATTTTATTACTCTTTTGATAATCCAGTTGTTACGATGATGATCTTTTGGGACTTGTATTTGTTCCATTGAGTAGATATTGTGCAACATTTTACGAAATCATTTAAGGAATCTCTACTTTCTACTAAATTATTTGTTTTATTCTGTCTACTCCTTTCTAATATATTCAACACTTTTTCGTCGGCAAATTTCTTGATACAGATCTTCTTGCTAATAACCTTTTTCGGTTTTCGCGTTTTCTTCTCTTTTTTCTCATTTTCAAGTATATCACAATCACTGTCTGACTGCATTTGTTTACTTGGAGTATCGTGCTTGATATTATTTGTATTCTTGGAACATATTGATTTTCTTTTTGGAGGTTTTTTCTTCGTCCTTTTATTTAGTTTTGTACACGCCGATTCCTCAGGTGTACACTTTCTTTCTTCTATTGGGCTGATTGAATATTGAGAAATTTGGGTAAGTGGCAATAATCTTCTCTTTTTCACTAGAGTACATTCCGTATTTTGTACAAATATATTTTCGCCTGTTTTAGACTTTATTCCATCAGACGTATCTTTGATGACCGTTAATTGATTTTGGGTAACAAAAGAATTCTGGTTAGGTGTATCTTCCAAAATAACTGAGTTAGCTTCTGTTGTTTTTTGCATTCCAGTCGACATATGCAGTTCATTTGAAACTTTTGAATGCCTAATAACATAAAAAATATTAATTATTAATAGTATTAATTTGTTAAATAACGCTATGTAAATCATATAGTAATATTTCAAAGTATAATATGTTTAACATTATCTATATGTACATTTGAATACTTACGAAGCAAATGACTTAGTTTTATCATCTTTTTTTTCATTTTCTAATGAATTTAAATTGCTGCCACAGGTGACTGTATCATCCAAATGTTGCGTTTTATATTTTAATTGTGATCTGAACAAAACTGAGCGGCTTATTGGATATGGAGTTCCCTCCACGTAACTGTTGCTATCTCTACTGTTACTCGAGCGTCTTTTGTCTTCATCCTTCATTTTAGAGACTTTTAATTTAGCTTTATGAGAAATCTCATTTCTCATAGAGATATTTCTTAATCTCTCAGTTAAACTGATGTTTTCTAAAGAGTCTATATCATTTATTTCTTTATCTCCTGTTGATGAACATTCCATATCCGTACTAGAATGATCTTTATCGCTTCTCCTTCGCCATGTTTTGTGCATCGAATCTACCGATGTATTCATTTGCAACGAAGTTCGATTCGTATTTGTGCTTTCGCGTTGATCATTCAAAACTACTGATTCTTTATTATTAATAGCTTTGAAATTTCGATTGGTATTGTCCGTTCCGTGATTTCTTGATTTCCAAACGTTCCTTGCTTCACTAGTTTCAGTCATTGCATCCAATGAAGTATTTACATTTAAAGATGATCGAATTGTGTTATTGCTATTAGACAGAGACATCATATTACATTGCTCATTTTGACATTCAGCTTTACTGTCGTGCTCATGTGCTTGCAGTACATTACTTTGAGTAATTTTGTTAAGTTCATCTTCTAGTCTCGAACTAATTCCTGTTTTGTTTCGCTCTATACTTTCTTTTTTAGATTTCTCTTCCTTGTTTTCGCTATAATTATTCATATATGAATTCCTATTTTGTACAGATATGCGCTTTTCACTCATATGAATGCCTCCATGAACTTCCGTCATCTCCATTGACATTACTTTAGTCGTTGTATGTGTGTCACGAGATTCGTCACTGTTAATTTCTTTTTCGTCCGTTGCATTATTCTCAATGAAAGTAGAGCAAACAACAGGTGTTTCTATATCGAAATTCTGAATGGAATGTATGGTCGAGAATGTGTTGTTCAGATTTTCAATCTTATTTTGAGAATGCAACTTAGATCTCCTGACCAAACTGAGTCTTTTGTTACTGCCGCTTAATATAGGACTACTGCTTTGAGTTACTTGTCTTAGAGAAAATAATGGAAAATTTTTCTTCAGAACAACATCTTCGATAATTCTACATTTTGTTTGCCCTTCTACCTGCTTATCCTCCTCAACAAACAATCGTCTTTGAATTAATCTAGATTTATCTATACTTTTCTCGAAGCTTCGTCTGTCATTATTTGATGGTGTAGTAACAATATTGGAGTATTGATCCTCTCTTTTCCGATCGTTCACATTATGAGTATATTGTTGACGCTTGCTGACTGCTGTCTCTTTCAGATTAGTCATGTCCAGCATAACTGTTCCGTTTCCCGTGTTTGGATTATGAATACTGCTTGCAAAACCATTTTTCTCATTTCCCAATACTTTCGTAATTTTTACAGAAAGCTCGTTCTCTCTGTCAAATATCTGTTTAGTTTTGGATAAGATTGCATCCTTCAAACGGTTGCAATTTGTTTCAAGGTAGCGTTCTTTGGTACTTATATCCTCCAGATTTATTGTAAGACGTTTCAGCTGTATTCCTTTCTTGATTCCAATGGAATTATCATTGTTTTTATCTACAGCACACTTGTCTGTATCGTTTATGGCTCGCATACCTTTGTTGTCAAAATCAGATTGGTGATTCTTCTCATACATACTTTTCTTTCTTGATAATCTTTTGATAGTTTGCGCCGTGTCCACTCTCCTTTGGTCAGTCTCGATCTCTGTTCTCCAGAGAGATCCATTGCCAGAATCTGTTAGAATCTTGCTGTAACTCAAGTTGACTCTCAGAGAACTACGTCGATGATTGAAACTATCATCTTCATCAGACGTATCCGACGCAAATATCTTTCTTTTACTGAAACTCATTATTGACCTGCGTATCATATAAATTGTAGGAGCATTACATTACATTTATATTCGCTTTAATTTACGTTATCATACATAATTATTACGTACTTACGTTAAAAACAACAAACAAGTCAGAGTAGATTATGCTATTCAAACATTGTCAGGAATACTTTCACATGATATAATCATTAAGTTTTCTTTTGTAAACAATGAATATTACTTATTACCACAAATAACTACTTTTATCATTGTTATTCAAAATATTAATTAATCTTTACTTCGCAGTAACTTTACTCCGTTTTCGTATTCGCAGGATCGCAGCCATGTTGGCGTCGCCGTAAACAAAAGGGTATAGACTGTCCATGAGACTCCATTTCAAAAATATGACTGAAATAGCCAATCATAGCTATTCCTCGAAAGAATGGAATGACTGTGATTGGTCAGTTTTATAACTACAAATATTATTAAACCAGTTACGCATAATATAAAAAACCCTAGAATATATTAAATGTCCCCGCTCATGAGCAGGTGCAATCGGTGTTCGCACACCAACGTCACCAACACAACAACAATGTCGAGAGGAGCTGGAGGAGCTGAGAGAAGTGACAGGCAGTGAACAGCATGGTGGAATCCTTCCACCATGAGTGAACAGGTACGCACAGGCACACGGCCATACAGTGCAGGCACTGATAAGTGACAGGTTAACTTGTGGGCCGCGAAAGAGTGCAAAAACATGAGTAGATCGCAGGTACAGTGTCCATACGTTAGCATCTTTTCCTCAGGAGTCTGTGATTTTGCATATAATATGGGATTCATCGATTTTACCGTTTTTTAACAATTAAGAAGCTATGTATTTAAGAAGAAAAATTTTGCCGCGTTATTAAATTGCTACACGAAGAGCTGATAAGTGCTGATAGGAGGAGAGATGCCGTATAGTCAATTCACGAAAATATATAAAGCTGCGTAATGTTACGAATAAGGAAAAGAAAATGTAATGTATCGCTTCGTTTGATTTTATTGCGCAGGAAAAATCTGTCGAAGAGGATGAAATTAATCTCTTCAATCCCACTATATTGGATAGATTGCCGATATCGCACGTTGCTGAGTTACTTATAAGACCGCTAAAGAGTACGGATTATGACAAAGGTAATTGGATGTCATATCCAGTAAACGAGAATAGATTGAAATGGATTCAGATTTTCAGAAATATGCATTCGCGAACGTTAAAAGAAATTCTTTTCAATCCGAATACATCTTTATTTATTTATAGGATTGATTGCATGAAGCACATTTTTATGCGTTTCAATCTAAAAATAATATCAGCTTTTTCTATACATTGTGAATACTGTTCAATTCAAAATTCTGAATAGAAAATGCAGTTTTTCAATTTAATAAAAAAAAAATTTTTTTTTTATTCAATTAGTTTCAATAGACTTAAAATATGCTAAAAAATTTCAGTCCATTTTAATCTACTCTCTATTAATAAGTACAGAGAGAGAGAGGGGAGCAAAAATAATTTTTTTAAATTGGATGTATCACTTGTTAAATTTTTATATAAATATATTTTTATATTTTAAACAATAATATAAGGCCCTGTACACAATGAGATGGATATTAGGAACAGGAATAAATATTAGACAAATAAATAAATAAATGGGAATAAAAATCAAACATACAATATACATTATATGATACAAATAAGATATAAGGCATTATAATTTATAATTAATTATATATCATATTTTATTTGTATGTTTATTAATATAATCACTATTTCTAATTTTCTTATTTGTCTAATATATTTAATATTTATTACTATTTCTAATATTTTTTCCATTATGAACAGGATCTATTCAACTCTTTCTTGCAAATAATTCAATTATTTATGAAATCTTGTAGGTTTTTTAGTTCTTCTATCACAATTGACAGATGTTGGAAATGTCACTAAGGAACAATTCTTAAGTAAGTTTTTATAATTGGGAATTAGATTCTGTAAATAATCAAACTAAACTAATTATGCTTTCTTCGTTCTGTATTTAGATAGATTTTATAGTATGAAGACCGCTGGTGGTTACTATGTTGTCGTCATCGAGGATGTAAATTCTGGAAAAGTGATAGCATGCGCGTCTTTAGTCGTAGAGCAGAAATTCATTCATAATTGTAGCTTGGTACGTAATTCTGCATATTCTTCAAGAATTAGAAATAGATAATCCTATATGCATATATTTTTTATAGCGAGGACGCCTGGAAGACGTAGTGGTTAACAACAATTACAGAGGGAAATCATTGGGAAAATTAGTAGTTTCGATTGTAGTACAATTAGCTCGTTATTTTCGTTGTTATAAATTATCTTTGGACTGTGTAGATCGTTTGGTACCATTTTACGAGAACATAGGCTTCATGCGGGAAACTAACAATGCCAATTATCTCAATATGCGCTTCCATGGTGAAAATGCCACTGAACAGTCTCATTTATAGTAACTGATACATTGTGACTTTATCTGTACCGGCAATCACTTGATCACAGTACTTACTTGTTCACAGTACAGCATACATATGAACTGAAAAACTGAAATATTACAACCTGAGTTATATATATATATATATATATATATATATATACACATTAAGTTTAAAAGAGATATTTGGATAACAAGTATTCCTTGTAATTTGTTCTCTCTATGAAGAGAACCTCATTACTAAAAAAATTTACGAAGAAATTGATATGCTTTTTTATGTATAAGAAAAAATTTTCGTACTAACGTTTGCATGAACTAAAATAAATTATTTTATATTCTTTTTTACATATTAACATAAGTATTACATAATAATGTTTGCGCGCACGCGCGTGCATGTTTGTGCAATTTTGAAAAATGGATCCTACATATAAAATATACTGTCGCATTACATTATAGACTGTATAGGTTGTAAAAAAAATAATTGTTAAATAAAATAATTTTAACTTTTACTTAACATATATATGTATATTTTTTCATGCATATAATGTTAATAAATAATATTGTAGAAAACGTTTTTGGATGAACCTTTTTCTTACATTAGATAAGATTTACAGAAAATACTTTCATCATATTACTTGTAATATTTAATTTACTTAATGTACAATAGAATGATTAACATACGGCGCGTTTACTTGATTCACTTAAATCTTCTTCGCAGCTGGATTAGCTCGTAATTTCACTGCTCGTTTCGCCTCCATCTGTCTTTGCCTGGCCAATTTACGCTCTTCTCTCTTCCTTCTAGCTTCTTCGTATTTATTGTTTCCACTAGGAACGCCTAAATAAAAGAAAATTTTCTCAATACTATATAATGAAAATGTAATGAAACAAAATTTGCAAACATATTCAGAAATCAAATCAGATATACTTGGTTGCTCTAAGGGCTGAACATCTTCGAGAGACTGAAACTCCGAATCTTCCCATCCAACTTCGGAAGAATCATTTTTGTCTTGAACACCTTGGGTTGTTTCTTCTTCCTACAATACGAATGTTTTTTTCTGATAACGATATCAAATTACACGACCATTCGAACAAATTATTTTCGTTATCTATTCATATTTATGTATCCATATGCATACATATACGTATAGGGTGTTCCAAAATTCGTATGTTGCAGTAATATTGAACTAATCTAGAATAAATTTCTCTTCGACAAAAATTGGTTTGGGCAACATTATTTTGACTGTTATATAATATTTAATATTAAATGTTTAATCGTCTAAATTTTACATAACAAAACTATATATTTTTAGCCTAGCACTCACTCTTTATTTTCTTTAATCACTTATCATTTAAATAATGTTAATGCATTGAAATATTTTTATTAAACGAAAAATGGATTCTTAGATTAATCGAAGAGAATTCTGCTATTATATAGATTTATTATTAAAACTTGCGGCTATATACATTCGTACCGCTCGTATTAACATTTCAGGTTTGATAGGATATAAGAAGAAGAACCTTGATTGTAACACAAAAATATAAAATGCCAAGTAACAAACCGGTTCTTCCTCAAGGCTGGTCCACTGTTCATTAGCCTTAGGGGAGTGGCCGGACGGTGATATACTACTGGCTGGATTCAATGGCACCGATGATGTAGCGGTGGATTGCTGCTCCATATCTCCCCAATTATCGGCATCCCAACAATCCCAATCGCAATCGGAATTTGTATTTTGAGTGTTTTGCGTATCGTGCTCGTGATCAGGATCGAGGGAAGTCATGCTTGTCGCGCTGCTCGTCGTGGCAGTAGTGCTAGCGCTACTCTGGGAGCTGCTAGCTTGTTCTAAAATAATTAAATAAAAAAAATGTCGTTAATATATTAATACGTAAAGGGATAAATATACTGCTAAACAAGTTATTAGATAGAGTGAAAAAATGCCCATGAGTATGAAAGTAAAAAAGATTAATGCTAACCTAAAGAAGCAGGTTTATTTAACAAGATTCTAGATGTGCTATGAGCATTTGATGATTTTGGCGTATCTGACTGACTACGATAGAATTTTGCTGTGACTGCCGTAACGGCCCATCCGGCCCATGTCGCCGCTGCATTGCTGAGACTAGGTGTTGCAGTATTCACATCCGCCTCTGCAAATATTTTAATATCATTAAAGTTTAATATTTTTTTTCTTCAAAGTGTTCTCAAAGAATAAAATAAAGTATGAATTATGAAATCCCCCCCCAAGTACTATATGTAATACTCACCCATTGATTCGCGAAGACCAGGATCTTCAGAGACTGTCTCAAGCTTTGATAAAAAACCTCGAATGATACGGAATGCATTGTCTCGTACACCTTTGTCCACATCCGTGGTAAGCGGACATAGAGCCGGTAGAATGCGATTTGCGACTTCTTGCAGAAGGAAATATTGCTGCGTCGCGGCTAGAGCTAGTATACTCGCAATTCTGGCCGGAGGAAAAGAATCGCGAGTTCCACGAATAAACGCGCCAATTAATACCTAAAATTATTTTTATTAACTAATTTAATAATAATATTCTATAAACA